AATGGAAAATTGAGGCAATCAGTCCCAGTAGCTTTTCAAGTTTACTTTACTTTTACGTTTTTTTTAAGGCCCCCCAAATAGCATTAGCTTATGGCTGGAACCGCCCTGTTGCAAGATGTCTTTAAGAACCCACTGACAATACTGTGGCAAATGTAAAAAACAAAAACAAAAAAATAACAACTTATATATTTCTGGAATAATACTTACACTTGTATTTCTAATCTTTAATACATTAGATTCATTATTTCTCTTTGTGTGTGTTTGGGAGTGAGATCAATAGATGCTAGCAAGCAAGCGAACTAGCTGCATTTCAGGAGCAACAGCTCTGTGGCAGGCACGGACCGCCAACAAGGACAGTTTATCTTATGAATGTGGTAGGCGGCAGGCAAAATAAGGCAAATAAGATTTCAACATTTCATGTAATATATTATTAGAAATTATAGTTATTATAAGTCAGGGGATCATTACTTTGATTTTATATTTTTTTATAATTTTTATAGCCTTTTCCTCCATCTTTCCTCGAAGATTCTGAGCTCCCCCTGCCACACCTTGGTCCCTAATTTGAGAAACACTGCCTTATATGTTTAAACACAATTCATTTGTAAAAGTTGGCAGTGGGCTTTTTCTTGCTTCATGAAAAAAGTTTTTCTTACTCCTTAGTGATTTATAAATAAAGAAAAACAAAATCAAAGGTACTCTTTGGGCAAACATTTTTAGAAATGTATTTTATTTCATTTTTTACATGAAAAATAAGTGATGATAAATTAGATTTAAAATACCACATAAAGTATGTCTTCTAAAAAATATGTGTTTGAAAATGTGTCAATTTTCAGAGGCAAGTCTCTTTTCTCTAGAACAGAAAGAAGGTCCTTGCCTTTGTAGCTGTGTGTACAGAATGATTGAAAGCAGATCTATAAGCTGGCACTGGCTCCATTTTACATGACCTGAGCCAACAATACTGGACTTTAATCTTGTATCAACTAAGTTTTGAAAATCAGCTAACAAGAAGTCACCCCACAGAGTAAATTAATTGACTCAACATCCACAGTCAACTGGTAATTGCTGAACCATCTCTTTGGCACCGTGTTCATACTGATACATTGTAATTTACTTTGAGGTAATACTAAGTGTCGCTGTGTGTGTGAGAGGAGTGTAGATAGGCTAAGTATAGAGAGGAAAGTGTCAAGAGGAGACGCAGATTGAGCTTATCTGTGAGCTCAGGCCTTCCTTTGTCAGAATGGCTCCTTTCTGATGAAGACTCTTTGAACCTGACAGAATAATTAAAAAGCAAGGAGGATGGAAAAGCTGACATTTGCATTTTGACCTTTTTGATTTACGTGGCGAAAATTGCTCCCCGTTTCCTCGAGAACACATTATAATATCAGTCTGCCCTTGTGTGTGTGTGTGTGTGTGTGTGTGTGTGTGTGCGTGTGTTTAACTATGCGTTAAAGTTTGTGTTTAAGAGTGCATGTGCATATAGGTGTACATAATGATTCTATATGCGTACAGGCAGTGTGTATTTATGAGTGTGTGGGAAGAATAAAAGAATATATTTATGGCATATTACCCAGCCACCTCTTCATTAAGGAGCTGTTTTCCAGTAAGCGGGCTCTATTTGAATAGCTAAATTGTCCAAGCAGTGTGCAAACGAGGACTAATAGCCCGGTGTCCTTGTCACAGACAGCCTCTCCGCCAAAGTCAAACTGAAGAACTTAAAGTGTGTGCGTGTGTCTCTGTGTGTTTGGCAGCATGTTCAGTAACAATATTTCTGTAAATTTAAGGGTTTGTTTTTATAATGTCCACTTTCTTTAGTACAGTAGTCAAAGGGCAACTTTTGTAAGTTAGAGCTATCCATCCTAATCCTAGCCCCATGATACCTTGTGTGAATTATGGACCCATCTTCCAGTAGTGCCTGGAATCTGTGAGAGTAAGCAGTATGCTGCAGCTGTCTTTGAGCTTTTTAAGAAATAAATGAAATGGGAACCCAACGTTCAACAAGAGAATATCTCCCAATTAAAGTATGACCTCTGCCCCGTACTGCTGAGGGATGGGAGGACTTGAAGAACTGATCTTGGATAGCTGTAACAAACTAAATCAGCTTTGCATTAAATACAATGTTACTGTTTTCATGGACAAGTTTTGCTGTTCGCGGCTGCACCACCAATCAAGCTTAACTAAATCTGTGAGTTAAACAGCAGTGTTGCATATAAACCTAAAACAAAAAAGGTTATTTGCCATGGGAAAGGTATCCTGTGACAAGGAATAATGTGGATACTGCAGGCTTCAAATGCTTCTTCTTTCAAGGAATACATTTGGGAAATAAGCTCATATGCTTTCTTGCCAAGAGTTGAGAATCATCATCATCATCTCCTGGAGTTTAGTGTGGTTGCCTGGCAATCTCATGGAGACAACAAGACTCAAGGATGTGACTGTGTCCACCTCCATAAAACCACAATGGGTCATTTTTGCTCTTGAGTGTTTGTAAGATTAAACAAGCCAGATATAACATGTTACCTTTAGAGGTGCTCATAGGTGGGTTTTGTTACCATTGGGCAGAACTTGGCTAGCTCTACTTTTGTTTTTACTTCATATGCTAAGCTAGGCACCTCCTAGCTGTAGATTCGTATTTAGTGGTATTCTTCTTATCAAACTCTCAGCAAGAAAGCAAATAAGGCCATTTTCTCAAAATGTCCAACCATTCCTTTAATATATTCACACAACATGTTTTCATTCTAATAGAATAAGACAAAATTAAAACACCCCCATGATCATCTATTACAGATCAAGATAAAGTGTGGATGCTATTCTAAATTACCATAAAGTATATCAGTTAGAATCACCTTCTCACTGTAATGAACACACAAGGCAGACCTTGTGAGGTAGTACATCTTTCTGTCACACTGTCCTTCAGAGTGTGTGCGTTTCTAAAGAAAAAGAACATTTTGATGCCGACATCCCACACAGAGTCTCCCCGACTCATTTCTTTAAGGCCAGAACTCAAAACATGAGACTGGAGCTCCGGCAAAGAATTTCATAGAAAAATGAGTCTTTTAGACTGTCTTTGAGAGGTAACCTAAAGAAAGTTTCGGATTTGTATCCTGTCTACATGAAATACACAGATGTGTGGACGTAAATTTTATGTCACACACATACTGCTTGTGTGTGCATGTATGCGACATAGGTTGTTTAAGTTATTATTATTTTCTATTTCCACTCACATACAGTAATTTGCATTTTTTTGTCAAGTAATGGTAAACGTACTTCATATTCCTAAAGCAATATGACAGGTTTTTGGCGGCATGAAGTGCTGGAAATGATTATGGAAGTAGAATTTCCTTCAGAGCACTGAAACAGCAGAGCAACGAGCCAGACAGGGAATTGTCATGCCCAGGATATAGGAAAGTCTGAGTAGAAAACACATTTGTTATGAACCCAGGAGTGTAAGGCTATGAAACCTATTTCTTGAGAAAAGTAGTCGGGGGGAGGGGGAGGAGTAGTTGGAAAATCTCAAGAGTTTTTTGACGAATCATCTTGGGTCTGAAAGACAGAAATCTGAGAAACATGACAGAAAGGCAGGCACACAATTGCTTCAGATGTCTGTGCTGAATGTGAAAAAAGGAAAAAAAATACAATGGTAGTGTGAATAATTTAATCATTTCTCAGTGATCAGTTCCTTCAGTAGATGTTAAGGAAGGAAAAATAATATTTCATAGGAATGGAACTTGCTGACCCATTTAAAAAAGATTCTCTGTTTTCTGCTTTTCTCCGAAATCAAAGAAACTAACTGGGTTTTCAGGATGCATCTCATTAGTTATAATAAGGTTTTGGGTGTATGTTGTTGACACTGCTGCAAGTTTGCAGAACAGTCACCCCTGCTGATATATGTCTGTCCCATTCAGCTTACTTTTCTTTCAAAAGGTAAAGGCGCAGGAATGCTCGCCACAGTGAAGCCGTAACAATTAAAAACAGCTCATTAATCCTACTTATGACAGCAGAAAAACTGCATCTGGGCTATTTGTGGCAATGCAGCACGGTCCCGTTCTGCCAAGGCCTGAGTTGTGTAGAAATTGTATTTTTGCAGTTGTCATGGAGGACCATTTAACAAAAGAAATAGAGATGCACCCAGGGACTGAATCCACATCTTTGGAGATTGCTCAGGAATAAATTGAGGGATGACTCCATGTGCAACAACATAATGACTGGAAAGGTTCAAGAAGAGAAGTGATCTTGTAACACATGTTTGATAAACACACAATAAATTTTTACTGTAAAATTTTATAATTGTCTATAAAATGCAAGTCAGATTAAAGTGTGGATTGTATGTGTGAAGAATGAAAGTACACATTGAATATTACCTGTGCTTATATATAATTATGATCCCTTCTTATATTATTTAGAAAACATACCTAAAGAATATAAGCATTAGCGTGAATAACAATTAGTACAAATATGATTTCAGTGGAAAAGGTCATAAGACCTTGCTTGGACATCTATATTTTACTGCCACCAAGTGGTTAAAAAATGCTGCTACCAGTTATTAAATTTTCTGGTTAATATCCACTGAGACTTTATTTCCCATATCATCACATGAAAAACACCCACTCCAGTTCTTTTGAACACTTACTTTTAAAACGTATCTCCTGTCATTTTAAGTGGTCTTTATGTTTTTAAAAGGTCCACTCTTTAATTAAATGTCAATAAAAAGGGGCAACTGAGTTGTAAAAGATTTTAATTCCTTTACAACTCTAAATATGATTGTTCAAAAGAATAGTTGGCTTAATAAGTGTATTTTCTTGTAAATAATAATAATAATAAAGTTGCTTATATGTAAATATAATATATAATAAATATGAAATAATATAATAACTTTTTTTATAAAGCGCCTTTCAAAATTCAATATGTACCCCAGGTTTCTTTGGCACTGTGGTGTAAAAAAAAAAAAAATCAATTTCAATTGTTTTTATTGATCAACATGTAAACATTTCAGATTTCAGTGCTGACCACTAAGCAGGATAACCCAGCATGACTGCAGGATGGAGAGAAGTCAGATGTCAGCCATGTTAGAGTTCAGAGTGCAACAGGACTTTGGCTTTCTTCATGTTTTTGGCCACTGTTGAAAAAGAGAGGACAAAATCAGAATAAAGACCATACATATGTTTCTTTGCTGGCAAAAGGCTCACTTGACAAATCATATATAAGTGACACTTTAGGCATAAGAATTAGCAAATTGGGCTGCCAGTGCTGTCTATATACTGTAAGTCTATACCAGGTTAGCTAAGGTAACCTTCAGGTTCAAAGTACAGCTAATCTGCTCACATTCCAAGATCATAATACCCTAGAGCATTAAACCCCAAAACTTCTATCTATGTTCACTAACTAACTGGTGATACAAATAACATTACACCCAATTAGGTTCATTTTGATAAGACATAAAGCACTGTGAATCGTGTGATTGTTTAAGTGATTTTGACATCATTTTGTTAACAAATGATTGCCTTAAAGGTGCCATGCCTTCTGTTTCTGTAACTAAAACTTCATTTTACAAATTGGACATAATGATTTGTCAAAAAGTACACAGCATTTCTATAAGTAGTTAGACCTCAAGTGCCCTCCTGCTGAAACCTAAAACCTGTAAAAGTCTCGTTAACACACATATGAAGCCCCTCGTTGTCTCTGTCAGACCCATCTCACAAAAATAGCTTGTCATCTCTGTCAAAATATTGAAGGAAGAAGATGAGGGTTAAAACAGCAGCGGCTCAGTCTGTCATCGGGTTCCTGACAGGTAAGGTGTGCAGCACTCTCCCCCTTCCTTTCCCTGTACTGTCATTAGAGAGAGTGGATGGTCACTCACATAGTGCCATGTCACTAGGCTCGTAGACGTAGTGGCGGTTTTCGTACTTTCCTGCAATGTCTGCGCGCACAGCCATAGACGGATCTGCAGAAAGACACGTGACACATGATTGTAATAAGATTTTGTTAAATGCCTGTTTCTGTAACAGTCATTATATGCAACTATAGTGTAAGTATGCAATGACGAAGAGAGAAAGCAAGCAATGAAAGTGAAAATAAAAGAGAGAAAGTGAGGACATGTGAAAGAAAGAGAGACAAACTGATGACAGGTGACAGTTTAATAAGTGGTTATTTAGGAGTGAGTGAAAAGCAGAATCTCAAGTCTTTCCCCAACACTTCCCACACCATCATTAAAAATTCATAACTATTGAGCCAGTTAGTCTTTATTCCTTTCCTTCTCATCAGAGCCATATCTATGTCCTTATCCATCTGTTATGCTTGAATCCTTATTCTGCTAAAAAGAGTTAATCAGAGGATTTATAATAATCATAATGTTATTATATTTAATATAATATTATTATATATAATAAATGTATTATAATATATACACTTTATTTATAAAACAGCTTTCAAATCCAGAGTTACAAGGTGCTGTATAGTGCAAATAACAATATGTACCCCAGGTTTCTATTAGCACTATGGTGTAAAAAACAAAAGGACACTTTACTTTCTATTCATGTGATTAAAAAACAGAATCTCCAGTCAGCCAACACTTCCCACTCCATCATTAAAAATATATAACTATTGAGCCAGTTAGCCTTTATTCCTTTCCTTCTCATCAGAGCCATATCTATGCCATCTGTTATGTTTGAATCCTTATTCTGATAAAAAGGCAAACCACTGAGAGACTTTTAAAGTTAGTCAGAGGATATAAGTAAGTTTCACAAATCTAATTGAATCTCAAAGAACAATAAGGGAAATATATATTTTTAATTACCTGTCCTATTAGACTATAAAATAATTAAATTAATTCTATATTATGGTAATTGGTGTAAGTAATTACCAACAAAGAGGATTCTGGGAACATAGTAGCCATCAGGGGCCAGATTCTTGTCTGCGGTCTCTTCCTGTAAGAACAATATAATAGTTGTTAGTTAATTATTAGCACAAAGAAAGTGTGATAAGACATGCTAAAAAGTGCTAAAAATAACACGTCCAGAAGGGTAATAGTATATGCTTAAACCAAAGAAGGTACAAAGATGCGTGAAAAATATTCTACTTGTACTGCAGCGTCTCTTTATATAATAAAAGATACACGTGCTCAATGTACTTACCACCAAGTTGAGCATGATGAAATCCTCTTTGGCCATTTTCTGGATCGACTTTGCAGCAAAAAATGCCTTCTTCAGCTCTGTTGAAAAAATTCTGTTAAGCTTATATTTGAAATTAGAAAAAATAATTGTCTCTTATGTAATTTTTTAAAAGACTTCATGCGGTTGAAACCCACCCATAAAAATTTAAAAAGGACCACATGTGCCAACAAGAATTATAAATGTGGTCAGGCATTTTCAGTTATCACAGACTGTTTTAATAAAACTTCTGGCCCATGCACTTATTTTTTTTTTTACTTTTTGACAGACACAGAAGGTACCACGCAAGTGTTTGGACCTAAAATATCCACTCTCTAGTTTGCTTGCCAGACAATGAAATAAGCCATAAATATATGAAACTCAACTTATTTAAATTTTCCCAAAGTGTGTTGAGGTATGAACCAAACAGAGTAATTATAGGTTTTCACAATCAAATGATGGACTGGTATGTTGGCAGTCTGTGAAATATTCAGCTTTTTTCCCTCAAACCTGACAAAAATCAAAAGTAAAAGCCAGATTTGACCCCGCAGGCGGTCTTTATGTCTATATGTGGAGAAACACAAGTGGAGACTTCTGCTGAGTTTACGTCCTGGAAACCAGCTGTGTGATTAATGAATATAATTCTAACCTATTTGCATTGCCTGTTTGGCAGGTATTAAGGAATGCACCCATTGTGTTCCCCATGAAACCAAGCCCAAGTCAGGGTAGGAAGGACAGCACAGGATGTGCAAGCCTTTATTTTTACATTCAATATTATTCTGCTGTAATAAAACAAGATTACTACAGTACCTTGACTGAATGGGCAGTCGATTTGATGATGGATGACCATCAGAGGCTTCTGACTGTGAAAGCAAAACCACAGAGAAACAATTCAACACATTTCTCAACACAATAAACACAATGATGGGTGTGAATGCAGTCTTGCACAACATAATCCCTGAGAAATCGAAGTTGCCGTGCCAGATTTGAAAAGAATAATGACAAATAAAACGCAATTTCTTTGCTTTTATGGGGCAGTAATGGTGCTATATTCCATTAGAACAAATGTAGCTCTGCTTTATAAAGTATTCAACCCCAACGTGAACCAGTAAGTCACCCCCATGAAGATATATCCCGCTCACAGACTGTAAATAGTGGTATGGTATTCACAGTATTAGCATACAATATATAAGAAGAATCTCACAATGTGTTTTTCTATTCAAACTGTTCCTTCAAATAATATTATTTTGAGGAGCTGTAAGGCTGTATCAGGAAATAGGGGGCACAGATTGCACTTTCCCATTTACATTTTGTTCTTAAAACTCATATCCAACCAGAATCATTAGATATTCATGGCTGTTATCAAAAGTCTTACCTTTTGACCATATTTGACAGGCCTTCTTCATAGCTTTGGACCCAGCTAATACTATCCCCCCATCCTGCAAGACAAAAACAACAATGGGGTCACCAGTAATGAATACAGCACACTGCTCCGTGGTTGCAAACTCAAGCTCACAGCCATGAATTCAGTTCAGCTACTGATTCTTGAGATGGAAACTATAGCCGTGCATGCTTTTAAAAAAGGAAGATCACCCACCTCTTGACCAGGACTGAGGCTTCGCTTTCTTTTTCTGTTCTCCGGCACTGGCACAGACACCAAAGAACAAAGCAAACAAGACCCAGCGAAGCATCACTTCCTGTCATTTGAGGCAATTAGAGAGTGCAAATCAGTGAAATTTATATTTGAAATGAACAATTACAGACAATATTACTGTAATCACAGGGTTTGCTAATGGCACACTTTACAGATATCTGTGGTTCATGTTTTTCTCTGCAGCGCTGACTCACCAAACAAGCTTGACAAGGCTGAGATTCATATTGTTGAATAGTAGCAATGTCAAGGAAGCAGTTATCAAAGAATTTCTAAATGTCACTTTCATATAAAATCTGCACTATTAGTAAAAGCTGCAGATGTTATAATATTAATTGTATGAGCATAAATTCTATACATATTAATCTGAACTGATTTAAAAACATAAAAACTTTTACTGCTTTGGTTCTTATTATTTGAATTATCAGAATAAACACAGATACAATAAACTACAATAAACTACATCACTGCACCAATACTATAACTTTACTGTCTCTTAAAATCTCACAAATCCATTATTACATACAACATTTTCAGTAACAAGATTTTAGATATAGGAGGCATCTACCTATATAAAAATCTGTTAATTTGGATAGAAAAGTTCATTTATAATTCAGGTATTCCCGTCTCCTGAAGTCACACAGATATCCTACCTTGACAGCAGCAACAAGCATGTGGTACTTGGCTTTGTATATGCCCTCTCTTTTGTCAGATGTGTTTTCTTTTACCTGAACTCACCAAACAGGTATAACAAAGCAGTGTGCTATGAATAAAGGCAACTAAAATACACACATTGGTGAATAGAGAACAGACTGATTGTTACTAAGCTCATCAAACACCAACTTTTTGCATGGGGTTGCACAGTGGAGGTTAACCTTACTTACATTTTTACTGACAAACAGTTTGATTGGTGACAATCTGAGTCCAACTGGTTGATGTTATGGGAAGGGGAGCCTGGGTAGTAAAAGTATGTGTTGAGTGAGGCTCATTTACACTATCAACAAACTACTGGACGGTTGTATCTATCTATCTATCTATCATTACTCTAGTCCATCTATCTACATATCTACATCATTCATCATCTAATCACCATCCTATTCTATCATCTATCCTAAGTGTAATCCCTCTAATCCTCTATCCTATCGTATCTATGCTACATCTATCCATCCATGTAGTATAATGTATCTATCTACATCAGTCACATCTATCTTACTATCTATCTTCAGTCTACTAGTCTACCTCAGTCTATGTAGTGCTATGTATCGACCAGCACTAGTCTACAAATTATCACACTTCAATCATCTACATGTTACTGCTTAATCTATATCATCTATTCATCTATCACTCGATCTATCTATCATCTATCTATCTACTCATCTATTCTACGCACATACTAGGTGCTATGATGTATGCATGTATCTATCTACTATCCATCATGCCTATCTATCTACTCTATCTAATCTATCTATCTAGCTATCGATCTAATCTACATCTATCTATCTATCATCACCTAACTACCACTGTAAGTGTATTGTAGCTATCTATCTAACTATCCTATCTATCACTATCTATCCATCTATGTAGTGTTAGGTAGCTACACTATCACATCGATCATCTACTACTGTACAGCTGGATCCATCTATCTACTATCTATCTATCTATCTTATCTATCTATCTATCCTATCAGTTCTAGTCTACTATCTTCACTATCTAATCCACTCTATGCTACGTGGTAGTAAGGTATGATGTATGATGTATTATCTACTATCTACTCTATCACTATCTATTCTACTACTCTAATCTATCTATCTCTCTACTATGCGTAGG